TTGTCCAATTAATGGAAAATATATTGCCATTGTAATTACCAATATCTACATCCTTCATTTTTTCGAAGTTGTAATTTTTGTTTAATTTGGTTCATGATATATTATGCATTTATGTATTTCATAAATATGGGTCGTCAAATAACGCGAATAAAAAGATGAAAGGAACGGGCTCAGAAGGCAGGGGAAAAAAATGATAGAACCTACCACTTTCAGTTTTAAATGTCAATGCTGGTCCTTGTTCTCCTTCACCATTGATACCATCTCGTATCGCTGCAACCTGAACAGAGTACGTTGACCCTGCTTCAAGTCCACTGACGTTATACATGACCATCTCACTGGCATTCTCAGCAGACCTCTTCGATACGGTACGGTCCGTATTGTTCACCATGCTTGGAGGCTGTACTTCTTTAGCCAACACGACATTGCTACCTGATTGCACGTATATCTTATATGCAACAATAGGTCCGTCCCCGGTATCAGCGCTAGAATCCCATTGTCTCCAACCGATGGCTGCGTGGTAGTATCCAAATTCAAGTAGTTCTGGTACACCATTAAAACTTGGTAAAACTACCGAATTAAGTGTCAAGACACAAACAAAAAGTAAATTTAAATTTTTAAAAAATGAAATAAAATAATACTGATACAATAAGTAAGAAACGCTAAATACTGAAATGCTGAAATACATAGACTGAGACAAAATTAATAATGGGTAAATCGCATTAATTTACTTAGAGAAGATTCTTCTGAAGTATAATATGCTTTAAAGGGATCTTTCGAAAGAGGAAAGACAGGTACATTCTCTGAAGGAAAGTAGCTTTACTTTTTCCATGGATATAATTTTCTTACTACCACCCCCCCCCCCCTATAGAAATATTGTGCAAACAGAGTCAGTTTGAAAAAATCGCTCGTGCATACTTACCGTAAAAAGATCAAAGTTGTACATCGAATCAATTATTTGAAAGGCAAATACCTTAAAACATCTTTTGAATTGCTATCATTGAATTAAATTGTTTTTAAAGATATTACCCGACCCCCCCCCCCCCCTTAGTCCTTGTTGTACATATAAATATAAACCCCGAGCCAACATTTAAAGGAATGAATGGCTACAATTTATACAAACTGGTGCGCATATTGCATATGTTCTTCAACCATTTGTTTGATTTTAGAAGAAAAAAAAAGATAATTTCCAGGAGCCTTTTTTCTACTTAAAAGAGTATTATAACAATTTTCACCCAGAGTGCTTTGCATATTGTTCATCAAATTAGTACAAAGACCGCTAGTATGAGAAACAACAAACGAAGCAATGTAAACTTGTACATGGCATTTATGCACTACGAAATGCTTAATGCTTACCAAAGAATTGTCTTGGAGGTAACCTTATGGACATAAACTCTGAAGGGATGTAAGGATCTCCGACGAAGCAGTAAATCGCTTTCTCTGGTCCTATATTGACGTGAAAAAATGAAATGTTGAGGATTCCAGCTATAAATACAGCATTGCTTTGTGAAATCCAGCTTGCTGATGAAAAGTCCCCTTGAGCAGCCTTGAGGCTAAGAGTTTGCAATGGTGACACCGTGAACGAACAAGAGAAGATCGCCACTCCTGGATTGGTCTTCTCCGAGCTCGTCTCAAAGCGATCTAAAATTTAGTGAAAGTATAGATTCAAAAGAAAAGGTCACCTCGATCAGCTTGTGACGTGGGCATGTGTCTTGACGAGGTATAGTAGATAAATCACGGGACTGTGAAATATCAAATGGTTTACGGTTTGAATCCCGCCATCCAGCCAGGAGCAGTTCTGAAAGAATAACTTTTTTGGGAGGAGGGGCTGGGGCTTCGTGCTTGGGATTCTTGCATTCTTTTTCTGTATTTGCCTCGCGGAACAATAGGGGAGGGGCTTGAAGAGTTTTTTGGGGATGGGAGTTGAGACACCCCCCCCCCCCCCCCCCATCCCCGGTCCCCTCTTGAACCGCTAATGCTAGCATCTGGCTCGATATACATTATGTACACACAGGCAGGCCTAGATTGATTCCTAAAAACAAACAGTGTGCTGATGAGGGCTGCCTCAGCTAAAGTTATTGAAAATGTTTGGCTTAAAAAGTGTTATGTCTTTAAATAATATTTTACAGCATGTTTTTTTAAAACACAGAAGAGGGCAATATTTCCTACCTGTTTGGCATTGGTCCCCCATCCATCTAGGATGACAGGTGGATGACAAACAATCACCAGTCAGAAAGTTACAATCTTCAGCACCACCAGAACAATGGCATGTCTTCGAACAAGAGCTGTAACATCCTGAAACTACACGAGAAATAAAGTGTGTTGGGAAAGAATTGGATATTATAAATTCAGACTAAGTGGTGTATTTCTTTCGAAATCAAATATAAAAGTTACGAATTGCATATATTTGTTATTTTTGCTCAAAACAAAATGTGATACTTTACCACTCTATTTGAAGGGTGACATGTTCTTGCATTAAGTATTATGAACAATTATCCTCAGTGACAGAAAATAAACTTGTATATACGTTAGAGCATCTTGCCCGAATACATATTTCGATATTTACAAAATTCCGCATAGCCAGCAAATTAATCTCTCATAGCAAGTAAATTAATCCCTGTTAATGATAAAAGGGACCCGAATATTAGCAATCTAAAGATTCACAGGAGAGAAAAGGCAGCAGCCCCCTTTTTCCCAGCCCCATCATTCTCACCTCGTTATTTTCAATCGTTATTTTAGCGCAATCCTTAGGCGTTTATATTGTTAGAAGGAAAACATAATGAAAGCCTGACTTCTCTACAAAAAATATCGCCGAAATTATCAACACACTATCTATCTTTTTGGTCAATTCATGAACGTCTTCAGTTGTAGGAGTAATCGTGGTTGCTGTGTGAATGGATTTCAAAATATTAGAGTTTTAAACCAAGAATAACGTTACATTTTATACAGCTTGATGGGAAATCGACAGAATCAGACAGATATCCAATGTCACATATTCCTTCAACCTGGGCACAAAATCCAGACTCCTTTTCGCATGCTGTGGTATTCCTGCAGTTACATTTCTGAGTGCAGTCAGCCCCAAAGTAGCCGATTGGACAAACAGAAGGAACTAGATGTGAAGGAACAAAAAGAGAAATCATTATTGTTAATCAATAATAATAGCTTCTTAAATAGAGGGCTCATCTTCGTCACACAGTGACGCTCATAATGTTTTGACATTATCACTCTAGTTATCATGGTTATAGCCGAGCCAACAAAGTAACTCAAGAAAATCAGGCAGAGCTAGTTTATCTACCTTAAGTCACTGCGATATGGTACTTATTGGTCATGAGCGTAACCTACATACACTTAATGATGACCATGAAAACTTTTTACAATGCTGATGAATGAATATGATCTAGACAATGCAATGGGAGCGTTGTGTCAAACCGATGTATCCTTACTTTCAAACATTCAATAATATGCAAAAGTAAAGTAAATGATTGTACCTTGACATGCTGCTCCAGACCATCCTTGCGAGCATTCTCCGGGACATTCCCCAGTGAAGTCATCACAATCTGCTCCATCAGTGCAGTGACATTCTTGAAGACAATCAGCTCCAAACATACCAACCAAACATGCTTTAAGACAAAATAGATGAGGTATATACAGGATTGTTGAACATGCAAGGAACGTAAACCTATTGGCAATCTCAAATTTAGTTTCGGCAGTAATAGATGTCACTTCTTTATTCTCCATGAAGGTTCCTGAAGATTTGTCAGATCACTGCCCCCCACCCCCACACACAATATTTCTTTGAGTGAAACAGATAACAAAACACCCTGAGATTACTCTGATGACTACATCCCTTTCAGCAAATTAAATTTATGAACTGAAATTCTGTTGCAATCGTCACCGATTAAACACTTACTTTCATTGCAGTAGATTCCTGTATATCCAGCCAAACAGGTGCATCCATATGGATCAGGTAGACAGATCTGACTTCCAGCACACTGGTCAAGAGGCTGACTGGGACCACATTCAAATTCACAGTCCCAGCCAAACCGATGCATTCCACAAGCTGAAGAGAAAGATTATGACTTTTTATTTAATTAGGAAAATCACTTTATAAATCATGTCTTTGAAATGAAAAGTTCAGCTACTCTTGCATGACACATTTTTATTGCTATAACATTCAATCGCCAATCGCAGCTGATCACGAGAATTTGCCTCTTTTCAAATTCCAACATCATCTCCTATCGCCTTTCGCCTCAGATATCAGGACTGTTCCAAAATGACAGTCAATGTAGATCATTATTACTAATGTCCAAATTGATGTATATTATTTGAAAATCATCATCCTACCTTGAAGGCAATTCTTTCCAGCAAATCCAGGAGGACAGATGCATGTTCCTGAGAGTTCGTGGCATACACCTCCATTATAACAACTATCACATAAAATATTGCACAATGGTGGATTCCATCGGCCATAAGGACATTCTGTTCATAGAAAGAAAAGAGATATATCATAATTCGGTATAGATTACACTGGACATAATGGTATCAACAACTCTGTTTTGAAGTATATTTAGTGAAGCATGAATATATAGGAAATGTAATGAAAAGCTTTCTAAAAAAGCAGGGAGGGAGTTCTTCATCTAAGGGACTACCCTGTACTAAAACATTGAATGAATAGATAATAAGTGAATTGATAAGGTGTTTAAAAACTTGTAATTTGTTATCATTACTTTTTAAAGTTTACTATAAAAACTGCATTGCATTCTCGAACAAAACTGCAAAGGAATTATGTAACATTTTAATGCGCACTCACCCTTGAGTAAAGTGGTGTTGGGCATTTTGATCAAAAATTATAAATATTTTACCTAAATTATTAGCAACAGAGGACATTAAAATTGGAAATGACATTATTCGAATGGGCACAGGATTGCCTACAGTAGACAGGATTACATAAGTACTCTTATATAAGGTACATTTACACAATATTCTAGTAGGATATTTCAACATTAAAGAGTGAAGTGAAAAAGCGTACCCTTCACGATGAGTCTTATAAAGCTGAATAAATGTTGTTCCAACGTTCCATCCTCGTAAGTCACATACACACCGGCGTCTGAGACAGATGCAGATTGGATAGTGTGTGATAGACTGCCAGAACTCATTCCAATGAGTGAATCAGCCCAGTCTATATCAGTGAATTTCCGCCATCTTATTCCGTCTTCACCTACCATCCCTGTCGTGCTCATCACACTGAGTGTGATATCATCTCCAACGTGTACTGTCTTTGTAAACCGACCATCAATGGGTTGCAATTCACCTACGAATAAAAATTTAATTATTTACCCCAAAAATATGATTTTTTTTCTTCAATTGAAACTTAGTAGTAACCTTTCCACCTCTAAAAAGCATTTCTCTCTCTCCCTCTCTCTTTTATCCCTCCCCATATTCTCTCTCTCTCTCTCTTTCCTGTTGCGTTGAATGTGCTTTTCATGAAGTCTAAATTATTTCCCACAACTATCCCTGCGATAATATAATTTTAATTCCATATCATTTTTTAATTTTATTGTCCAATGGAAATCCAGTTTGTTCACAATTTCATACAAATTTAGAAAGTATTCTCTAACATTTTAAAAAGGGTAACCAGTTTTCACTTTATCACCAAGACCTGTATTTGTTGTTATCAGCTAAGAACATACGAGCTTAATCATACAATACGCTTTACTCTATACTGATTTGATATTAGAAGAAACGTCAGAGAAACTTACGGGTAGAAAGAAGAATGGCAAGAGGAACAGATGTCACTCTACTGGCTGTCAATGAAGAACATTCGAAAAATCCCAAGCCCTCAATAGTCGCTGGAAGAGTCTGCCGTAATAATACAGGTGATACAGTATCGCTGTCTCCTGGAGCTGTGTAACTATCGAAAGTTATAGCCTCGGTCAGACGGACGAGTCTTCTGGTTGAGAATGTGAGAATGTCTTCATTCTCTGAGCCGAGTAGACAGATAAATGACGCATCCAGTAGACCTCCTCCGTAGGGTGATGGAGTAGCTGCTATTATGCGTATGGGAAGGATTGGGCGTGGACCTATGAGAATTTTTTAAATATTTTTCAAGTGATTAGTGTCCGCCTAGCATTACTGGTGAAGAAGAACTAAGGGAAAATGCACAATGGTGACAAGGCAATGACTTATCTCACGTATACGTTATGATAACATTTAGTCCTTGTTGATACATGCAAAATGATTTTCATAAATGTACTTCATACTATTTCATACTATATACAAAGTTACCTCCACTTCTAAAACGGAATGGTATATAGAAATATAGGCCTATGGAAACACAATCTAAATGGTATATGATGATGTATGACTTCACGTCTCCAGAACTCCCTCAAACTATCGACTGTAAATAAAACCTGAATAACTAACTAGGAACGTTTAATAGGCAAGTTACATAATCCATATGATATGATAATCTTATTTCCCCTTTCTGCCTCGAGACAACAGTACTAGCATGGATTTACAGTGGGTGGAATTCTATCTAAAGTGGAAACCAACTTTGGATTCGTAACAGTTGTTCCAAAATATTAAAATGTCACCAATCGATATGTTTTTTCGTTTGTTGCATTTCAAACAGATATTTTGGAACACGGACTATTATAAAGGAGTTCTCCAAAATATAAAGGACAACAAAATTATGCCAATACTCACTCGGAGCTTTTTCACATGCGAACCTGAGGTAGGATGTACATGGTAATTTTCTCCATCCATTATTAACCTGTTGATGAACACATCGTTCACTCTCAAATAGGGTTGCATCACCATTCGACCAAGCAGGAAATCTGTAAAGATAAGATATGTCGAACAGCAATGTATAACTAAATTATTAATAACATAAATATTTTACTTTAAAGGGCATAATCGTTTCTTTGTTTGAAAGCGGTATGTCAGGCTTTTGGTTCGAGCTGCAGTTAAAATGTATATTAATCCAACTGTAAATGTAAATTTGCCTTTCTTGCAAATCATGACCATGGCTTGTATTTTAGGCTTTGTGACGTCCACAAAAAACAGAAATATTTAACAAACATGTTATTTTCAACTTATTCAAGGGAGGGGGATGCCATCGATCCATCGGAGAAAGTCTTCCGCGGCTTGATGGATATCAACTTGTACCTTAGATACTCGTGCTTTTAAAGTTACATACCATTTTCTACCTATTGCACTCTCTCTGTAAAATGATATAATCACAATTTTTATTTAAGATACTGCTGCTGTGTGTATGAATAATACAATTTAACACATACACATTATTGTCAAGTGAAGTGCCATCAATCCATCGGAACGTGGTCTCTTGATTGATATCATCCAGTCCAAACCAATACGAGTTACCTCCAGCCAGCTTCATGAGATGCATCTAGTGAATGCATTGAAAAAATATATCAGAAAGAGAAAATCACCGATGATTATTTATAATGCGCCATGATCTTGATAGTGGGATGAGTTTATCGATATGTTTATATTCCATGGCATCATTGAAAGTTGAACTAGTTGAAATCATGACGACATCATGCTGTTCTACTACCTTTTACATCGTTTTCCGATTGTTTTTACACAACCTAACAGATTTCCTACTTTCCTTACATTTCTATTAACAAAAATCTTCTATTTTGACATACAAAATTATTAAATGCCCGTTTAAGTTTTATTCACGATTCATTTATACGTCCCATACTTTGAATAAAACTCGTTAATATGACGATGCGTCTTACATTGATTTCCTCTGTTTTAGGCTGGGCAAGATCACCTCCTTGAGTCTGGCAGAACCTTCTAGCAAATGAGTATGACATCATCGAGGATTGAGTTATATAGTACAGGGTTCCATCAAAGCGACTCCACTCATATTCAGGAACATCTAAATATTGATTATAAGATGATTGCCATTAATAGATGCCTATTGTGTTTTGAGACAGGAAGAAGAGAGAATTTCACACCATTACGTGTCATTGCATTCATCATAGTCAAACTGATAGAACACGGGACGAGAGATGAGAAGATCCTGGATTCATTCTTCGGCATGGCACTTTCATCTACATTGCGTTGAATCCGATGAATATCACATTATAATACAATTTCTCTACTTGGGTATCATTAATCTTGCTTTTAACCATTTCTCCCAGCGCTCAGTGCATTCAATGAATACATCCTACTAAGTACCCACCAACTACACGTGGGTCAAGCGTTGTAAAAGTAGGTTAATGTCTTAAGACTTCTTAAAGGTTGTGAAATGCGAAAAAAAAACTTTGTAAAGCCGAGTCACTTTGCATCCTCGCACAATTATTTTTTGTCGTGATCTCGTGATTTTACATGACCTAATATAACACGAAGTCGATAGAGTTTTAATTCCTTCAAGGGGTTAACACTTTAAAAAAAAATTGGTTTTTAATAAAAAAACAAAAACAAAGGTTGTTTTCCTCCAAAACACACACATACAAAAGATTTAAGGGGGGTTCAACCCCCACCCCCCCCCCCCCCCCTGCGTACGCGCCTGCTTGGACATGTACAAAAGATGAAAATAATTTTAAAATTATAAACACACCCTCAATCGAAAAAAAAAACGAACGGCAGAATGCAGGTATTTTCGTTAGTACTGAAGGCAATAATATCGTAATCTAAATACAAGATAGCGAGATTAAGAAAGTTTTTAGAAAAACAGATCATGAATTGATAATTATCTAGTTACATTGAAAAATGTCCGTGAACTTTTCGTTTTTCTTACTGTTGTGTTGGGTAACTTATCTCAACCTACATGTACATGTAATGAGATTTTAAAAAAATACAGATTATATAATGTAGGAGTAATATAAGTACTTTTGAGCTTAGCAATCTTTTCAAAGTAGAAACGACTAAGTTTGCATTCGATATTTAATGAACCTACTGTAAAGGTGTTCCGTCGATCCATGTAAATGTGCCTTCAACAGCTTGGTCAGTCAAACCAAAAAAAACATAGTTACTTGATCCCGAATATTCTGAACTCCTGACATGAAGAAAGGTCTGTTGGAAAGAGAAAATGTCACATCTTTAACTACATTTGCTTTTCATGTTTTCAAATTTGCATAATCAAAATTAAATTTAAAACAAATACGAATGAAAATAAAATCGATATATATCAATCGCCTGCTGTGCACTCGAAAGGTGGTGGTTACTAAAGAATCAAACACTTTTGGGCGTTTCAGTAAATTATATCTGAGATGAAAATTATTTGAAGCTGCTTGAAGCTACTTTGACAGGACTGTTTGGAAGCGCTTAGAACTCAGTATTATTCGCTATACAAGAACGGACTATTATTATTATTATTATTATTTTTATTATTATTATTATTATTATTTTTATTTTCATTATTATTATTATTATTATTATTTTTTATTATTATTATTATTATTATTATTATTATTATTACAAACAATAATAAGAATTTTTGAAATATATCCATTAAACTATTCACAAATCTGAATAAAAGAAGGGATCGGGTTTTTATGTATCATGGAATCAACGTGCATGAAATAGCGGCGTCGTTAGAAAATACTCAGTTTGGAAAGATATTGTATATAAATTGTATACATAAGGATTGGGGATCACAATGTTTACATGACTGTTATATTACCTCCGCTATCAACTAAAGATCACCCTTTTTGGAATGGTATAAATGGGCATTTCATCCCGCATTCCCGAAGAACCGGTTTCGCATTCAATCGTGATATTCCTTTCAATATTTGCTTAGCTAAATAACAATGTAAACTTCCCAGTTGTGAAGCAAAACATGTTAAAATAAGTTTAACGATATAACATTTTGTAAATTGATTGATGAAAGAAAAGTAGTAAATATACTCGACCATACGTTGATATCGCGTGTTTTGATGAGAGCTAAATCAGCTCCATGATACCGACAGTAGGTCAGTGCATCTGAGAAAGACCGATCCAGCCATGAAGGAGAGATGAAATAATCTAGACCTCCAAATGATGCTTCACTGCTTCCATCAAACACTGTAATGAAACAGACTTTCTCTTGAAAGTGCATCGTGATGAGAAAGATTGTGATTTTTACGAAATTGCTTTTCTCTGCCCACTCGAGACATTCGTCTCATTCTACAGAGCCCATTGTGGGCCTATAGTAATCGACGATAAACTTTGTGCTTTGTGAATGTTCAACTAAAAAGGAACAAAATGATTTCTGGTTTCTAAATAAGTATGAAAACAGAGGACTTTCCCAATTTGTTTTATTTCTTAAAGGGAAATTATTCACCCAGTATCTGAACAGTGTCTTTCGTCGCTATAAGAATACTCAAGGTTTAAGAACAATATATTTTTTTTTCTTCCATGAAACAAAACCATGTGGCATTTCTTGTAGTGAGTGAAATTCTCGAATATAAAGTCAGCCAGGCATCTCATTATGATGTTCCCAAATGGAGACTACACATATTAAAAATAACAACGGATTTCGTTTAGGAGACTGCGCACTATCCGAAATATCTGAATAGCTCCAGCAACAATTGCTCTGTGGCCAATTCATTACACTAAACGAATTCCAAACTTCAACCCTTTACCCTAACTTACGCTTACCCCGACCCTAACCCCTAAATGCCTTATGATCCCAAGACCATATTTTTGTTGAAATGATTATGGCCCGGAGCAACTATAGCCAGAACACAAATATTGTTGGTTCACTACAATTCATACCTCGTGTACGCTCACAAATGTACGGTGAAGATAGCCATGGAACCTGGTCATACCATGAAGGGCTATCACGTAGACCAAGACAACCCCAGGAGTCAGCATTATCAGGTTCTTCGCCCCTGTACCAATCATTATACCTTGGAGGAAAAATGCTATAAAAATTAAGTTCGTATTATGATAATTATTATGATTAGGCTATTATGATTACTATTAATAATAATTATGTTTATATAATAATTATTATTATTATTATTATTATTATTATTATTGTTATTATTATTATTATTATTATTAGGCCTAACATTAGTAGTAGGAGTAGTAGTAGAAAAAGTAGTAGTATAGAAGTAGTAGTAGTAGTAGTAGTAGTAGTAATAGTAGTATTATCGTCAATATTATTACTATTATCATTATTGTTATTATCATTCAATTCAAATCTATATTCAACCTTTATCAAAACAATTTACAGTGACAACATGCAAGGTAATGGTAAGGACCCTTAGGAAGCAAAATTCTGCTTGTAAATAATCGGGGCCCTTTAACAAACAAGAACAAGATAATAATACAAGTATCATTATTGTCATTGATATTGTAATTATCCTTTTTATATTATGTTCGTGTATCCATCATTAATCTGAATTTGAATTTAAATCTGTATCTACATTTCCCTCAACACCCCCCCCCCCCATCCCTCGAATATGCTACACAGATAATGTAGGTAAACTGTAGGTAAGTATCATGCATAGATTAAATAGAGCAATATATATCTGGTCTTAACATCATGATCTTGTATTGTTGAGCCGAGCCTTCTATATTCCATCTTCGTAATATTCACTTTAACATAGATATTACAAAATATGCTGATAAAGTTAATAGACACTGGAGACATTTAAATGAAAATTGCTTTGAGTAGAATCATAACTACAGATTAAATCTAGACTTAAATCTTGACTGATCTTGACAGAGCAAACATATGAAGAACATACCGGAGTGTAGTATCATCTAGCCAAGTGAAATCTCCAACACCACTTCTCCGCAGCCCAAACCAGTAACATAAATATGGATCACTTTGATTAAATGTAGGTAGTAGTTCTTTGAGAAATGTCTGTATTAAAAGCAAAACAAACAAGAACAAACATTTTCATTTTATTTGAATAAGTAAGTCATGATAAACACTGGTAAGTTTAACCGATCACCCCCCCCCCCCCACTTCTTCATCTTCTAATTAGTACACTGTTGCTCATAACGGTGGAATATTTTTTTTTATCCCAATTTATGGAATTATTTTAAAAATAATTTAAAAATACTAGATCTAGATAATAGTGTACAGTCTCTGATTTTATTGAATAATAATTTGCCAATATGTGTTTTGCGTGACTGCTAAAGCATGTCTGTTATGCTACTATGTTTATCAACTAGGGGACCTATGCCCTTAAGTCATAAATGACAGTAATGAGGATTAATGCCTCACAAAAGGGCACTAATATAGCACATCGACACGGTGTTGATCCTGGGGCCTCACAGTTATGAGGCCATTGCTTTGTCACTGAACCATGACTGTACGTAGCAGGGGCTAGGGT